AATCTGGGAAAAAGTAGCCAAAACAGTGAAAAGTTGGAAAAAATGACTAAATTAGCCTGGAAAAAGCAAATAGTTCCTGGCACGCGCTGCGGCCCGTTGACGACCGCCCTAATCAACTGCCCGGATGACGAGGGTATCTACCAGACGACGGACAAAATATTCGTAAATTGTCGCGTCGTTGTGCGCGGCGAACATGCGGCCATGCGCGTCATATACTTGTTGTGCATTGTTTGTCGACTGGAGCAGCGAAACACGAATTCTAGGTAGGACAAGACTCCATAACGGGAGATATCAAATCTTTCCCTTCCTTTAGCACTCAAATTTAAACATCCAGGCAGAGCAACTCGTCCGTCCAGCGCTGCGTCGCTCGTCACGACCACAGCATATTGCGATCGTGCTGTCACGTGTCCCATACATATTCCGTGCCCACTACCTTTGAAGTACCTTTTCCCGTTGCCGTGGACGAAAATTCGTAATCCATACGGATTGGCGAACGTCAGTCACTGCAAAGCGTGTTTGCATGCATAACAAAGTTCTGAAAATTTCATAAAGGGACACAATAGGCTCAAAAGGCCAGAAATCTTTCCATTTCTGACGTTTTCTGGTCCTTCACTTCAAAGGCAGTAAAGCCATATCGTCATTCCAAGGGGTTCAACGGGAAAATGGAGCAGTGGCACATGGCGCTCCCATCAGAAACATGAACATGAGCAGAGGCATTGGGACATTCCTCCGCCATGCCATTTGCACTACCCACCCAAAAAAACTGGCCGTGGTGGTTCACTAGAACAAAAATCGAGAAATCTTTCTGAGGCTGAATGGGACCTATACCCGAGCGACTGAATACGACCCCCTAGAGGTTCCATAAAGACGACGTATCTTTATGGAAAACTGCCGAAAAACCTTGGAAGGAATATGAGTTAATCCGTTCAAAATATTTTGACCGATTTCCGCTCATTTGTTCTTCTCACTTTACTGCCTTATTTCTCTTCAACCTTATTTTTTACTTAACCAAAGAAATTTTTCATCATTTTCTTCTGTTTAAGCATGGATTTCGTTCGCTCTGGGATCGAAAGCGATACCGGCGAGGACGATGCTTGGAGTGAACTCGTTGTTGGCTATGACATTTCAGTTTGGTAACATCATCCGGAATCTTCCACGTGTCTCCTATGTCAAGGTAAGGCTCATGAGTTCTTTTCTATCACGGAAAAAGAAAAAGGACATTTTAATGATTCATTAGCACTTGTCCCATGCTTAGTGTGACGCACGCATAAATAAGAATATGGTTTTTCATGCCCTCGTTTCCAACGTAGGAATTTCTTTTTTTTCCGATATACCCTTGAAATTTTGTCCTGGTTTGACCTCCTGCATACGAACTCGCATCCAACTTGAACTACAAACTGCAATTGACGACCTTAGCACAAGCGCCTGCTGGACTCCTCGACCTTCGAAAGTTGTAGCCAGGAGAAGCTTGGCCCCGCAGTAACATTACTAAGGCTGTTTGCCGAAAAGCCGCTAAGAGCGGCGATGGAAGCGAAAGGATAGTGCAGTCGCCCGATAAGTGTGAAGTGCAGGCTTGAGTTCCGCTTAGGGTATGGCGTTTGCTCATATCACTATCCTTTTTGGAAGAACTTAAGTTACACTGCTCGCGCGCCCACACGCTTGGAACCCATGTTGCAAACTTCCGCGCCTGTTTTGCGAGTAATATCGATACAGTTCCACAGACCTACGTTTTCAACATGCACAATCATTGGGACAGCGGGACTCAGGGGCCAGACTATACCTATGGTTACCATGTCCAGCGAATGTTTCGGGTCATGAGCGTTTTGGAGTAGTGTTCTTCGGCGGGGGCACATAAAGAAAGACGATGTCGCTTCTTGACTTGCAAGGCACTATAAGTAACACTTTATCGGATTCTGACTGGATATTTCCTTCACCATGTTCAAAACTTGCAAACTATCGCGATACTCGCCACAGCCTTCTGGCCGAACGCCATCGAAAGATTCTGCCACACGACCGTGATTCTGTGCCTAAATTCAGCAAGGTCGTTGATTTCTCGGCCATTGTAGATCACCGCCTTTTAAGCTCCGCCGAGCGCGGTGATCGAAGGGTTTAAGTTAGTGACAGACTTGAATATTCCGTTTTTAATTCAAGTTCTCATTCCAAGAAGCGAAAGTCATTCCCAACAGCCTTCGATCATGTGTTGGACCATTCCTGTAGCAGTAGGAAGCTTTCTGCAATGTCGGTACGGCGACGGCAATGGGCAGAATATTCCCTCCACGAGTTGTTGATGTAACCGTCAGCGCTCACCTTTCATCCAGGGGCGCGAAGAAAATATCGGTCTTCCAGTCCAAGAACTTCCTATCCGTACCATCAACCAGCGCCTTGGCGATTGTGGTGAAGATGATGTCCTGGACCGTGGCGACGTTGTCGGAGCTGCTCGATGTTGGGTCATCCAGATCGAGAGTACTGGTCTCCAGGTAGCTATCCATGGGTGACTCCACACTAGAAGTTTCGCAGCTGTTTGGAGGTGACATGAATTCCAAAGGTCTTCTCCAGTCAGGCTGCGACTGGAGATGACCTCATTTTGGTGTACATGAAGGTGATGGGCGAGGGCCAGCTCCTGCTTATCGAGGAACATCTTGGGTATCTTCCGCCCTGGTACTCGTATCCACATCTTCTCTCTGGGCTGCAAAAACTTTGCTGATATGTGACTCGGTCGAAGTGACTTTTTTGCCCCCCCCCTGTACACTATATGATACCGAACGATCAACGAGGGCATATCGTTGTTGGAATCCAACCAGGATGGGGGTCCGCTTGGTCGCCGGAGAGGTGGTCGTATTTAAGCTGAGAAAAATTCATTTTGATAGTTGGCTTTTCTCGCTTCACGGACGTTGTTAAAAGGGGGGAGTCGTACTTATTCGTTGTTGAGAGGTAGGGGATTTGTATTACTTTCTGGCCTCTGGACAGTGGCTGACTTTTTTCTTGTTTCATGTGTACTATATACCCTTGCTTGCTTTTCCGTTTCACATGTGCTATTCTTGTATTTAAATACCCTCACCCCCACAGGTCGACATCTCGATGAGGAGGAACAGAGGGCGTGAGGGGCCCCAAAGAAAGGGGGGGGAGTCGTACAGACTCCCACCAGAAACAATGCGCCCGGTTAATAACACTCACATGCGTTTATGAGCGCTTGCAGGTTGCTTCATGTCTCGGATAAGCACTCGTTAAGCAGTCGCGAAGTCGTCAAGGGATCAGATTAGCCTCATTATTTGTCCCCTTCGCTTTTCTCTACTACAAAACAAGATATAGGTGCGAGTCCATAAGGGCATTCCTTATGTGTATTCTACTGAACAATGTGCGCTTCATTAGGGACTTTTCATCACCTTACCTGCTAACATACAGTCCTCATCATTGCGGACGCTAGGCGGCGCTGGGGCGTGTCAGTGCGGCTGCGTTTGGCGCGGTGCCAAAGTCGTTCTGCACCAGTTGTTGGAGCGGGCAAGTGACATTACTGTATTAGATCCTTCGTTTCTCGTTTTCGCCCACCATTTTTTGTCGCCGAACGCGTCAACAAAAAGCTGAGAAGGCTATCAACAGGTGCACACTATACTGCTGACACGCCCCACGGGCCGCAATGATGAGATATGATCAGTGGAGGCTGAGCACTAGCTCTAGCAGCAGCTGTATAAATAATTACAATAAGAGCGAAAAATCGCTGTTGTTTCTCTGAGCACACCTTGACGTTTAGTGGCAGACCCCACTCAGCCATACTCGGCACCCCTTCGGCGCGGATTCGAGATAAGACCCGCAATAGGGTATCTTAAAGGCAGTTGGCACGATGATTCGGTGCTCGGCCTAAAATGCTAGTAGGGCGCTATATAGTGGGGAAATGGCGAAAAGACAGGTGAAACGGTCAATTTCCTGCGAAGAAAAAGTCTCCGATCTCAGTGACTTCAAAATCGATTTCGGACGAGTTTCCCGTAGGCATCTTGCCAATAACCACTATCGAAGATACGGCTGCATGTGTGTACTCATATATCCATGCAGCACCGCAGCCGCTGACACAATACCGCTCGCTTTCATAATTTGCCTTAGGGGCAAATGGAATCAATACGATGCGTCAGGAACGGTGCCATTTCGTGGGCGGCGGGCGTGACGGCAGTTCGGGTCGGTATGTTGTGGCTTGATAGGCCTTTATAAGGGCACCTTTCTTGGAAAAGGCATTATGCAGCGCCTGCTTCAGGGTCGCGGAATTCCGTCCTGCCAGGCGTATCAATCCAGTCGTCTTGAGGTGTTTATCGTGCCAACTGGCCTTTATTCGTGCCAGTCACTAGCTAAGAATCATCTACGCGTTTGAAGGCATGGGGCACGATAATTTGTACTTGCTCAAAAATAGTAGAAGGGGTATGTTATCACAAGAATGCTGAGTTGTGGGCAAAAGTCGAACCAGGGCAGGATGGAACCCACATCTTCCGCTTTCCGTGGACTGTTCCCATTTTACCTACCAAGGCCACTCTTGCCCTCTTAGCTCAATGGCTACTTGTGTGCTATCAGCGCGAGCGACTAATGAAGTATAGATATCGATCTAGCGTCTGCTAGCTTCCACCAGCGTCCGCCAGCAAAGAGTAAAGCACAGAATTATGCAATCTCGTTGCACGGTGTAGCGCAAGCTGCACGGTACGGTTGCACACGCCGCAATTTCACGACGCCTAAATTAGCTGTTTGCTACCTTCCTACTTCCCGCGCTCTTTGCTCCCGGTCGCTGGTAAACGCTAGTGGGCATGGTAGACGTTGGCAGACGCTGGCAGATGCTATATCAATATTCTTTCCTTGTCGCTGACGCTGCTGGACGCTCGGAACGCTAGTGGCCGCTGGTGGACGCTGGTAGACGCAAGTGGACGCAGCAAAGTATGAACGCAGCTTTATGGTGCCACCTTCAACCATATAAATATTCCAGTTGAAACGGTAAAATGGCTATTTTTGCCGAGAGTTAAACGCTCTTGGACGCAGATGCGGATCCCCCTCCCAGCAAGCCAAATACGGCACCCCTCCACAGCAATTCGAGATACAACTCTGTTGACAGGGATGCCTCAATCACGACATTTCCTAGCTGGCAGTCATCTATGGGTCGAAAGGGTGGTAAGGGGGAGGGCTGTAAGAGTTTGCCTGACATCCGAATCTCCCTCGACCATTTATTTCAACATTCAATTGCATTTTCATTCATCATCTTCGGCCCGCTTTCGAATGCTTTTTTTCAGGCCATCGACGTATGGATGCTCTCATGCATGACGTTCGTGTTCTGTTCGCTCCTTGAACTCGCCTGGGTCGGTTATTTGTCACGAGAGGACGAATCGCCTAGTACACCACGACCATCATCACCAGCATTACCCTCCAAGTCGCTCGCTATTCCGCCGCTGACCATGAACAAGACGACTCCAGTGGCTCCACCAACGCCAAGTCTTCAGGTGCACAGCGCCACCAGCACTTTGCATCGGTTCGTTTCCAATTTCTCAGAGTACAGCTGTAGATGATGTACTTTCATGAGCGCAGAGTTTTGTGTGGGCGACGTCAGAATGGGGGGTCCGCGCATGAAATTCTCAAGGGAACACGAAATCTCTCGCTGCACAAGAAGCTGTCTGGCTCGTTTTCATCTCACATAGTATGACGTGTCGATGAGAGCAGATCTGCGATAAGGCGCATATGACTGCAGAGAAAAAGCCGATTCTTTCAGGAGGAATCCGGCCAATGAAGAAGAATCGGCGTTGATTTCGCTTCGCGACAACGATTACGGCTATATTCCACCGGGATTCGGCCTCAATGGCAATATAGCCAGCGCGATGCGATCGCTTGGAGCAAGGTGAGCGAGGGATCTTTATTTTATCCGGAGGGCTAGGGCTTTATAGAGGTACCAGAGTGATGTGATCATATTTAGGTGTTCCTGCGATCCTCAACAGTCATATCAAACCGACGTTGACGACGTGCATTCACATACACCAGAACATGCGTCACCCTCTTTCAATTCACGGTTCGTTAATAAACCGATTTCATAAATTCCCGTAAGTTCATCATTAGGAGCTACTGTGGACTGCAGCTTATGAAAAATGAAGGAAAATTCCGTTGAAATGGCAGCGAGAAGTAGACAATATGGGTCAGATTGTTGGTGTAAATCAACCCCATCTGGAGCGCGCCATGCATTCGACTCTGATTCTAGCCTTGAAGGGATCTGCACGACTTGCGCGGCCTATGCGAAAGTCACGTTTAATCTTCCCAGACAACTCCCTGCCAGATGGCCCTAAGGGATAGAGAAGATCTCATAGAATCAGTTAGGATTTCATCCGAAGCTTTGACCTCGAGTCGTGTACTTGGTGAGCACCACTGCACCACCTCCGTTTTCTTGAAACAAGGTAGAAAAAACAATATTGTAAACTTTCCGAAGGACTCGAACAGAATAAACGGAAAGAGCTGGAGTACAGTTGTAGTGTAAACACCTGCGTCTCTGCCTCCTAGAACCACTCCTCTGCGCTCTAGTCAGTCCCAACCCTATGATGATACTCTGACTGCATCCACCTGTCAAAGCCACTTTCTGGATTATGGAACTGTGAATGGTAGGAGTCAGAAATGACAGGTGCTAAATAACTAACATTGAAGGAGAACGAAGAAAAGTGCCCGAAACACTGTTGAGACCGCATCGATTCCAAGTGTTGTGCGAAGAAAAGAGATACTGAGCGTGTGGGCGAGAGCCCAGACAAAGGAGTGGCGTCAAGTGGACGTGAGCAGCATGGGTGGAGCGTTTCTTCATAATAGCGGTGAATGCGGCAAAATAGACGTTGCAATAGGGGTGACGTGAGCAGCTCCGCATCAGAACCCATTCCACTCAACGAAGCAGCCTTGCGGCGCGTCGACTCTCTCTGCGTCTGCGCCTCTCGAGACGACTAGCTCTTTTCGTGCCTGTAGCCGTCTAGTCAGCTAACTAGGAAAATCTTGTGGCTAGTTCACGCGATGCCGCGACTGTGAAGCAACCAATTGGAGGGGGGGGGGCAATGGTTAGGCTCAATTGTTAAGGTTGTGTACCGCTCACTGTGCACTTTCAAGCAACAAAATTACCAATCTTCCTGGACGAAGGCCAAGATCACCCACTACCGAATTCCTCTGGTGTCTCCACACATCGCGAGGTTTTCAGAGTAAACTGAGCAAAATGCGTCTTCACGTCATGGTCAGAAATAGATGATGCAACCTTTGGCTGATCGATTTTTGCATTCCTGCGCAAAGCGCCATTTTCACTACCCCTGCACACAGTGGACTCTTTGGGAAGCCCCGCCCTCAGATGGCCACACCCCTTCCCTTGAGGAACATATTTTTCACACATTATACACTATGAATTCTATTTACACTCGATTCCACTTCAAACATACCCATAGTTAAATGGAATTTCAAAAACTGCCCTACTTGACTCCGCCTCCAAAACCTCCGCCCACTTATTATGGGTACGAGGTGTTTCAAAAATTAAATTTTCATTTTCCAGGCGTCATCGAAAAGAACGATTGGCAAAGCGGATCGATACATGGTCGGCTATACTTTTCCCGTCACTCTTCTCTCTCTTCAACATTGCCTACTGGTCCCACTACCTACGGAGGGACGGTTAGCCTCTCAGCGGAACCTATTCTATGGCCCCTGAAGAGTAGCTCTCCATTACGGACCATGATAACTTTCACCCCGTGATTTCACTGCCATTTACCATGTGATATAAATGATAACACTTAATTATCGCCCCGTGACGTCATCATAATTATTCGAATCGACTCGATAGTTCTTTCATCAGCTCCTCAATGCTGTGCGTGTATCAATATGATATTTAACCATAAAGTACCTCAATTTTGAATCGACCGCCTCCACCGTACATCTACGCGCCATTTACACCTTACTTGGATAATTCACTTCACTGCTCAATCAACCCTTCTTCTCATTTCCCCCTGGAGGTGTTCACAGTGTTTCACTTAAATTTTTCAAACGAATGCCATTTTCGACAGCAGAGACAACGATTTTATTTATTATTTACACATAATTATTTGTATTTATTTGTATTCTAATTTATTTGATTACTCAAATTCTCTCAGAGATTTTCTTCTTTGTTTATGCGTTGTTGTTGATAGATAAAGATTGATATCTTTTCCGATGTTATGCGACTTGATCGAGTGGGGTTTGAAGGCGGAGAAAAATAAGCAAGTCCGTTTCAGTCCTTTTTATCACCTCCCGCTTCCAGAGCCAACCTTAAGGCTGAAAGCCACGAGTTGCCGACAAATTTGAAGCACTCCTAGGCAAAAAATTACCATGCGTAGGGGGGGGGGGAGTGAGTCATGACGTCCATGTTGCGGCAGCAGGACAAAGGTGACGACCCAAGTGACGTCACGTGGGCCGGATTAGCACCAGGACCCAAGTCTATAACGTGGCAATGTTGCAGTATTTCGAGTCAACTAGCTAGTCAAACTTTGCTATTTAATTTGACCACGTTTCACCTTCGTATAGCTTTCCGGCTTTCAATACACCTCCAGACGCGCAGCTGCCGCCACGTCTAAATGGAGTACGCAACCACGGACTGTCCATCTCTGGGATATTAAGGGCAAGTCTATATATCAACGAAACTGCCACCAACAAACGATGTCAGAATTCAGTTGTTTTACTTCATAATAAGCCCGAGTGATGGTTTGTTTCTAGCCAAGATAGTCAGAAACTCCCCGGCCAACTCTTCGGTGTAGCCATTTTTTAGAGCTTAAAAAATGCAATGCTTATACTGTTGCCGGGAATTACTATATATCCCCTACAGCAGTATAAGCACTGCGGAAGAGGCAGTATAAGAAGCGCTGTAGGGGAACGCACGTACGCGACATTCGCACCGGACCCGTTAATGAGGATCTGCTGCAGGGCGCTGTACCTTGTGGGTCCTTCAATCCTCATCCTGCAAAACTAAAATAACAGTCATGTGAAGAGAAGTTACTAGCTTGAGACTGGCTCACACACTCCGAAGCTTCTTCCCTCGTAGTGTAGTGTC